TCATTTTCTGTCATATTTTATTCAACCATTTCAACTTGTTAAGTAACAAATTAGCCCTAAACAATGTATAACAAATTAGCCCTAAACAATGACTTAGACCAGCAAACATTCTTTCGGTCTCTGTGGGGGAAGGATCTGGAAATAGCTGGGCTCAAGTTTGTCAAGGCCTCAGTGAAGGCGAACAATTGGCTATAGTCAACTTAAGGATCCTGTGGGGAAGAAAGGCCCTTTCCAGTCTCATCCTCCTGGCTGCACAGTCCAGTTCCTTGCTGTAGAAAGAAGTTCCTTTGGATGGGGAGTGGGGTGCTGGGAGACAGAGAAGATACTGATGTTAGAGGGGAAGAGGGGAAGCTTACTGATTATAATTTGGAGCTTAAGTCTCCCCTAAAACTCACATGTTAAAAGCTTGACCTTGAGTGGTGGTAGAGCCTTTAAGAGGTGGGGCTACTTTATTTTTATTATTATTTTACTGTTGATTTGCGGGGGGAGGGTATGGGTCTAAGTAGTACAGACTGGCCTCAAACTTGCAGTAATCGTCCTGCTTATCCCTCCTGGGTGCTAAGATTATAGGTGTGCACCACCAGAGCTACACTAGAAGGGGGGGATAGCTGGGTATGGTGGCACATGCCTTTAATCCCAGCACTCAGGGTTATATAGTGAGACCCTGTTTCAAAAAAGGAGGGATAAACTGAGCATGGTAGCGCACACTTTTAATCCCAACACTTGGGAGGCAGAGGCAGCGGATCTCTGTGAGTTCAAGGCCAGCCTGGTCTACATAGTGAGTTCCAGGACAGCTGGGGCTACAGGAAGACCCTGTCTCAAAAAGACCCCCCCCCAAAAGAAAGGAGGGATAAGAAAATTCCATCTTTGAGGAGTGAGTTGAAAAGCAGCCACTTAGGATCTTGAGTAAGAGTCTGATTTTGTATATGTGTATATGGCCATTCCAAGGCCAAGGGCTCTAGAGGGTGGTGAGACAGGGCTGGGATGGGAAAGAGAAGTGGAGGCCAGTTCCCTCCAGGCCTTAGCACATACAAAGGTCTGAGGAGACATAAGAGTAAACTCAGGGAGTTGGAAATGGAAAGCATGCTCCAATAGACAGTCTTCATGGGGATTTTATGAGGCTTCACTAAAGTAATAAAATCCAACTATGACATCTTCATCATACCCAAGATCCTGCTTTATTGTTTGCCAAATTATGACTCCTGCAGAAATGATAATATAAACTAAGGGGCAGCTTTGTGTATGGACCAGAGTAAAGCCATTCAATCACCTTCCCTCTGAATGTAAATGTTACAAATAAGATCTGAAGTTCAAGGACCCCACCAATACTGCACAAAGAACAGTCAAACAAAGGAAAAGTAACTTGAAAGGCACCTTTTACTTTTGCAAAAGCGTGTGTTGTGTGGTCAGTCAGATCCAGCAAGCACACGGGACCTGGAAACTTGATAGGTTCTTCATGAAAGAGTACTGTGTCTTTTCCCCATTGGCTGGGGTCACACTTCACAGTCTTTCTGGTTAGACACAAATGAAAGTCTCCACTGCCCCAGGTCATAGGGTTCTGGAATGCATCAGGGCCTTTCCTTAGACAAAAGTCTTACAGGGTGTGGTGGGATTAAAAGATTGGAATTCTTTGTCATAAATCAAGTTTTACAGGATTTGAAAGAAAAGACTAGTACTTAATGTTTCTTGCATAAAGACTAGATAAACTCTGTTCTACTGTTTTCTGTTGCTGTAACAGACACCACAGTCAAAGTCAACACAGGAGAGGAAAGGGGTTTATTTCATCATCTCAGGAAGTCAAGGCAGAAATTGAAGCAGAGACCCAGAAGGAATGCTGTTTACTGGCTAACCCAGTGGGCTGGGCCCTCCTACATCAATTAGCAATCAAGATAATACCCACAGGCCCATCTGGCAGGAAATTCCTCAACTGAGGTTCCCTCTTCCCAGGTGTTTCCAGTTACTGTCAACTAGACAGAAACTGGCCAGCATAAACCCTGGTATCTTTTCAAACACTAAATTATGATCCAGGCTTTTTTCTACCATGTGATCCTGACAACTGCCCATCTTTTACGTGGGGCATCCTCTGTATAGATGCAAAAGGCCAGAGTGCCTGGGATTCAACTACAGATGGTTGATGATGGGTCCCTCTTGCCTCCCAGGGCTCTAGCTGCCAGGATAAGGAGAGAATGATTTAGCTTTGCAGTCTGGGCTCCTAGTACAGGGCCTAGGAAGCAGCAGCTGCTCATTTTTCAGTTGAATCTGAATTCAGGGTGTAGATGGACTTAAGGAACTAGAATGACAGTACTCAGGAACTGGTCTGCTTTACCTCTGGTCATAATCCAATGTGTGGATTAGCCAGACTTCTCCTAATTCTATGATTTGGGCTTTTTATTTCCCACTTTCAGGCATATCACTCCACTGCTAAAACTCCTCCACTTGCAGGGGCTGAAGAGATGGCTCAGCAGTTAAGAGCATTGACTGCTCTGACAGAGAACCCGGGTTTGATTCCCAGTACGCACATGGCGGCTATGAACTGATAGGTAAAAATTCGGATGGAGAGCGAGTGCGCAGATGGATGGAGGAAGGCACCGAGGCACAGATGGAATTCTCAGCGGGGCACCTTTCCCTCAGGGAAGGGAAAGATGTCAGGGAAAGATGTCAGGGAAGGGAAAGGAAGGGAGGGGACAGCAGGGAAGGGAAGGGAGGGGAAGGGAAGGGGAGGGAAGGGAAGGGAAGGGAAGGGAAGGGAAAGATGTCAGGGAAAGATGTCAGGGAAGGGAAAGGAAGGGAGGGGACAGCAGGGAAGGGAAGGGAGGGGAAGGGAAGGGGAGGGAAGGGAAGGGAAGGGAAGGGAAGGGAAAGATGTCAGGGAAAGATGTCAGGGAAGGGAAGAGTGTCAGGGAAAGATGTGAGGGAAAGATATCCGGGAAGGGAAGGGTGTCAGCTCACGGGTTGTGAGCCGGGACTTTATATATGGGGGCTTTAGGGTATGGAAGGGGGGAATGTTTGGGGGAGAAATCAGGGAGGGGGAAGCAGGAAAAGCAGGTAGGATTAGGGTCTGGAAGTGTTTACTTTTTCCCTCTTAAGATAAGAGAAAAACAGCTTCTAAAATCTCTGGTTATCAGGTAGAATCTGCTTATCTTATCTTTGGAGGTCAAAGGAAAGGCAGGCTGCTTCTCAGCAGAGTTTGTTTCCCTTGACTCCAAAGGTCAAGGTGAGGTCCCTGTTGGGGAGGGGGGAAACTGCTGCTATTTGGAACCCTAACATGAACCATCCTTAACTCCAGTTCCAGGGGAATCTGAAGCCCTCTTCTGACCTCCGCAGCATTGCATAACATGGGTGCACTCACATACATACAGGCAATATACTCATACACATTAAAAAAAAAAACAAAACTCTGCTATCAGTAAACAAGGATGGGGTTAAACTCAGGCTTATTTATTCATATTCAACAAATAACAAAGTTTGATGAGTACTGAACTTTTTCTTCAGGGTCTCACTATATGGCCCTAGCTGTCCTGGAACTTCCTACATAGACCAGGCTGGCCTTGATTTCAGAGATCTTCCTGCCTTCTGAGTGCTGATATTAAAGGCATATGGCGCCACGCCAGTGAAATTCTTGTCATATAAAGATCTTGGGAGCCCAGTGTGATGGTACATTTTAAATATTTGTGATCTCAGCTACTCTGGAGGGAGAGGCAGCAGGATTTCGAATTTAAGGTAAATCTCTCCAAGGACACAGCCAGTAAGAAGGTGAGCTGAAATTCAAATCAGGTTTTCTGCAGTCTACAGTGCCTTTTACTCCTAGACTAACTGGGCGACTTTCATTTGCTGCTTCCTTATCTGCCCAGAAATGTTTACATATGCTAAAACACAGTAGAAGCGCAATAAGTACCATTTTTCTGTATATTTTATACACACAAGTAATATATATGCACATTCATATATACGCATACTTTTTTTTGGAGACATGGTCCCATTATGTGGCCTAGGTTGCCTATGAATTCATTAAGGAGCCAAGGTGGCCTGGAACTCTAGATTTTCCTGCCACCATTTCCCCAGAACTGGGATTAAAGGCATAAGCCAAAACACCCTGCCTTCTATATTTATTACTATTGTTCTTTAAATTTTATATATTTTTATGTGTACGAGTGCATTGCCTGCACGTGTGTAAGTGCACCTGTGTTGTGTAATGCCGGAAGAGGTCAGAAGAGGGCAGAGGAGCCCCTGGAACTGGAGTTACAGCTGGTTGTTAGCCTCCATGCAGGTGCTGGGATTTGAACATGGGTCCTCTGCAAGAGCTGCCAGTGCTCTTAACTGTGAGGCCATCATCTCTCCAGCCACTGTTTTTTAAAAACAGGGTCTTACTATGTAGCCCAGGCTGACGTACAACTCAGGATTTCCCTGTCTTAGCCTCCAAATCCTAGGATAACCGTTTTCTCCAAATTTTTTAAATGATTAGAGCTAGAAAGTTAATGCAGCACCAGGTCATTTTTAGCAAAGTAAACGAAACAGATTCCCAGCTTGTGCGCAGGATTCCTGCGGTGCATCGCAGTGTGGGGCGTTTGGATCTCTGCCATTCGGGAGTAGCAGCCAAGGGAAGTCGGTCCAAACTGCAGTGAGGCAGACAGGGAAGGAGCTTGGCTGCACAGAGGCAAAAACGGGCCATGATTTTTTGCAGCTTAGTGTCATAGGTTGGGGAAAAAAGCCACACTTCGGGTTGCAAGCTACTAAGTCAACCTGGAGGGGGGTTCCTGGGTAGAAAACGCAGAATCTTCAGATCAGGAGTACAGGGCGAGGGTAGTTAGACTGACCAACCTGTTACAGTTGGAGAGGAAGAGGACAGTAAGCTGAAATGAAATCCGAAAAACAGCCAGGCTCAGGGACTGAGAGGGAACGCTGTGTGCCCGACGGTTAGAGGGACACCAGGACAACACCTGGTGCACAGGTATCCCGGCGGTGACCACTTCGCTGACCTACCAAGCAGCCTCTAGGGTGTGGTCCAGGGCAGCGGCTCCTGTCCGTGGTCCCTTTCCAGGATGAACTGGGGAGGGTGGGACGCTTGCACGCACAGAGGCAGGGCTTCGAAGGAGCCGGAGGCCGCAGCAAGCCGGCTCCGCAACGGCCCGGGGCTGGGAGACAAGAAGGCGGGTGCAGAGCGCGGCCTCCCACGGCTCGGAAGCCTGGAAGCTCCGGCCAGCAAGGAGCCTGCCCGCGCGCGCGCTTTCCGGGAGGCGCAGCGGGCTCCGGGCGCGGGGCGTGGTCGGAGGCGTGGCTGGGGCGTGGCCTCGGGCGCGTGCTGCGCGGAGGGAGGGTGTCGCGCGGAGGGAAGCGGCTTGCGGCGGAGGGAGGGGAGGCCGAGTCCGGGAAGCGGAGCTCCGCGCTGGGACTGGTTCCTTCGCAGCCATTTTCTGTCCAACCAAACAGCCGATTGGAGACGGGAGCCAACCAGGGCTGCATTGGAGGTTTGTGTCTCGCTTCGGCCAATGATCGCTCCTAAACCGACTCCACTTTAGCTCGAATGAAATGTCCGTCTCCTCCCGGCGCCGTCCCCGCCGCCAACGCCGCCCAGGCCGGGGGCACTCACATCCTCGCCGCCTCCGGGCCCCGGGGCCGGGCGGCTGGGCGAGGCCGCTGTGTTGCGGACCGGGGCGTGTGCGGAGCCGCGGCGGGGCTGTGTGCGCGAGGCC